TATTACTTTTAATTAAATTTATTTTATTTCAACTATATATTTAGCCTTGGTCAAAATGGCAACATTTGTTGGATAAAGCTGGTATTTTTTTTTATTTAGCCATAACAAGGCATTAATTCAAAAAACATATCCTCTTGGTGAAGACAGACAATAAAATAAAATAATCAGGGTATTTAAACAAATGTCATTCACATAATTTGCTCCACAAAAACCCCTAGTTAATTAATTCTCTTCTATATAATTTAGAGAAAATTTATTTTTCCTGAATAATTGTTCCTTGTATCAGGCTAAGAACGACTTTTAAAAAAATCCCTTCCAAAGCTCACAAGCCAAGCACGCAGATTTCAAACAGCGCTTCCCAGTTTTCAGTCCCAAGGACTAATGATAACATTAGGTGTCAACACTTCTAAACCAGGCTATCCCACCACATCTTGGCTCTGGTCCCCTAGGCAACGGTGCCTGGCGCAGAGTTAATGGGCTTCCACTCCTGCTCCCAGGACAGCAAGAGTCTGCGGGCAAAGGGGGAAGGGAAAGAGCGAAGGCGAGAAAGCAAACACAAGGCGGTGTGTTACAGAGCTGGCCCTGGCGCCGCAGGAAGACCTAGTCCGTTGCTTTGCTTGCACAGACATCTCTGAAAAGGCCACATGGGACCACTGAGCCTCAGAGGAGTTGATCAAGGGGAGCATGAGAGGAGGATTTGTACTCTGACTTTTCTCTGTTTCCTGTCCAGCTGGGTAGTACGGAGCAGCACATCCCCCGTATCTCCAGGTGTGTCTCCCAGCCTGTTGGGGCAACTGCTGGGGAAGCCAGATCTCCTGTCCCATCTCACGTACTTCCTCTGAACCCAGGAGTGACAGCGGGAGCCAGTGCCTTTGTGAGATTCTCAATCAGACAGGAACGCCCGAGGAGTCATCACCCAGAACAGGCTGAGATAGCAGGTGGTGGCAGGTGGCTAGGGCTCCTCCCTGAGCACGTTGCCAAGGCCTGGGGGGCAAGTGGGGCACCGGGAGTCGGGAAGATGCATAAATGAGTATGGTGCCCGCCAAGGAAGCCTGGCCCACCAGCCTCAGGCCAGTGTCTTCATTTTCCACAGTCCTTGAGAATGAAACTACCCCTTCTAATGTTAGGGTTTCATGGAAACTGCTTTGAACTAAGTCAGCTTCGCCTCGTAGGTAGGACCTGGCAAGCCATCTTCTCTGGAATTTCTCACTAGAGTTTTACTTTATTCATCTTCAATAATGCTTCCTTATTAAATGTTGCTTCAAACATTAAAAGAATGACATGTTGCCACTAAAATCATGAAATAATGCAAAAAAAAGGACAACTAATAACCTCACCTTCCTACTTAGTCCCCTTCTCTGTCATAATTGATATTTACAGCCTGGCCCACGTGTACCAGTTTTGTAAGCACGGAGAAAGATGTGGAAGGAAGGGGTCCAGCCTGTATGAGCCTTCTGTTATTTTCCTCTTACTCACAAGGAATCGTACCACATAGTTACTCTACAATTTGGTTTCCTTACTTAATTGTACATCAGAGACTTCCCTCCAGGCAAGTACGTATGGCTCTACCTCATTCAAGTACAGTCTTCAAATTGTCCTGAAACATTCTCTTTTGGTGACTGCAACTTGTATTTCCTATGCAAAATTATTTATTCTGTCTCACTATAATTATCTTTAGATCCTCTTCCTAACATAAAACAGAGGCAACACAGCATAGCGCCTAAGCATGCAGCTTCTGATGTGAGAATGCTTGAGTGTAATTCCTAACTGCATCACTTAGAAGCTGTATGACTTAGGGCAGGTTTCTTAACTTCTCTGTGCTTCAGCATCCTTATCTGTAAAAGAGATTACAGTTCTTACCTCCTGAATGTTATTGGAGAATTAAATGAGTTAATACAAATAAAGCACTCAAGACAGTGCCTAGCACATTAGAAGCACTTGGAAGAACAAAGTTGAAGGCATCATATGCCTTGATTTCAAACTGTATTGCAAAGCTATAGTAATCAAAACAGTATGGTATTGATATTAAAATAGACACACAGCTCAATGGGACAGAATAGAGAGCCCAGAAGTAAACCCATACATATGTGGTCAAGTATAATTTACAACAAAGGAGCCAAGAATATACAATGGAAAAGCACTGTCTCTTCAATGAATGCTGTTGGGAAAACTGGATAAAAATATGCAAGAGCAGAATGAGACTGGAAAACTCCTAGAATAAGAAGCACTTGGCAAATATTAACTATTACCATTATAATTTTTAGCATCTCACAGTGTCTACATAAAGAGAAACATGCCCATTTAACAAAGGAACAAAAGTGAATTGAGCCCTGCTGTGTGGCATGTAAGTACATAAGGGCGACCAAGACAAGGTCTCTGTCCCAGAAGAATGGTGAAGAAGATAAATACAGAGGCAGGTAAATCGCAGTATCACATGATAGATGGTCCAGTAACAGTAGAAACCAACAGCTGTGAGGCTCAGTGATGGGAGTACGTAAATTGTGTCTCAGGAAATACTTCAGGTCCGAGATGGGTCCTGAAAGATACGCAGTAGGAAACTGCAAGTCAGAGTAGTAGCATTAGAATAGGTGTTCCATGTCCGGGGGCCAGTATGTGCAAAAGTGAAAATATTCCTCTAGACAGCTGTTCCGTGGGGAGACAGTAAGATCTCGCAATTTTCTTCCGTTTTCCAAAATGTCGTATCTCAGTAGTTCAAGCCAGAGCATTTGGTCATCTGCCAAGCACTTTGCAAGATGTTTTGGTTCCAGTGACTCATCACCACCATAGACTAATCAGCTACCATGACTCATTTCTACCCTCTCGGAATTGTATCTCTGCAAAGCATCTCTCTCTGCGTGAAACATACCTTCAAATGAGTGACTAAATACTCTTGTTCAGGACTACCCCAGACTGTCACTAAGCGTAACTGCTACACTTACTAGATTCTGTGCTCCGATATTAATTTCTGTAACTGCCAGGGAGTTTGTTAGGGAGAGAGGAACTGACATGGAGCCTAAGCAAAAGGTACAGATGTGCAACCTCCAAATAAGGCAAGGAGTTTCATATTGTTACTTTCTCATGTGGTCACAAGGTACCAAAAAGCAAATATTGCAATGGCACAGTTTAAAAGCCAAAGACTCACAGTAATTATTAACACTGTTGATTCTTTTCTGTTTCCACGACTTCACAGAGTCAGAGGGGATGAAGAATCTGGGGAAATCCTGCTCATCTAAACTATCTCTTTTGTTTGATTGTTTAAAATCAGACTTTTCTGTCATTAGGGGTATATGGACCACATCACTGTCAAGCAGGTGTCTTTCAAGAAAACACTAACAGATCCTTTTTAAATATATATGTTGTCTTAGCTTCACTAAAATTCAAGACTCAGAAAGCATTCAAAACAAGAGGAACTTATTACAGTACTGATAGCATAAAAATAATGATAGCATAAAAATTGGAAACCACCTATGTGCCCATCGATAGGGGAGCATATTCATACAATATGGAATGATCAATCAGGAAACAACAGGAAGCAGTGGAAGCAATTGAACTAGATCTGTGTATGTTAATCTGGATCACATTAAAAAAAGGTGATGTTGAAGAAAAATGCAAGATGGGGAATATGTACATATTTTTAAAACACATAAAATATTACTACATATTTATATGTAACATATGGGTTGGAAATACATAAACAAATTCAATGTAGCTGTTGCTCCAGGGAAGGAAGAAGGGAATGGACAATGATACACGATACGCTGATAACAGTGCGTCAGTGTTAGTTCAGTAATTGTGGCAAATGTTCCATATTAACGTAAAGCATGAATAATGGGGGAAGCTGGTCATAGGGTATATGGAAACTCTCTGTACTGTCTCTGCAGATTTTCTGTGAATCTAAAATGCTCCCAGAAGAAAAGGTTTATTTTCTAAAAAATGAAAATAACGTGCAGGAAACCAAAAATCCTTAGGGGATCATTCAGAAGTGAAATGTCCAGTATTTGCCTTAAAATGATCCAGTTGGGTGTGGGAGGGTTGGAGGTAATGGGAAGAGGGAGGAGTACCCATAAAGCCGGATTGGCCAAGAGGTCACAATTGATGAAGCTGAGATTGTGGGTATGTCAGGGGTCACTGTTTTCCTGAGGTCAGAGTCATGTTTTTGTGTTCCCTCTAACAGGAACCACCAATCAGCGTTTATTCATGTAACACCGGGAAGATGAATGAAGTGTGGATTTTTTGATCAAGAGTGGCCACGTGTTTCTCAGTATGTTTGGTGTGCAGGGTCAGGGAGCTTGTCACCATGGCCTGGGACACAGTGACTGCCTGGGGCATCTGAGTCTGATACACTGAGCTTTCCCACTCAGCAGATCATGGTCATGATGCTTTCATACCACCTGAAGGACTCCTTCTATTTCAGAGAACAACGTGGACGTTCATTTACTCTGGAATTTGGTAGAAATTCCAGAAGATCCAGTGGAAGTCAATTTGATTTTTAATTCATGAGAAATTTTACATCATGAGTCTTAGCCAAATTAATACATTCTAACATAGTTTCTGCAACATACATATTTTGTAATTTTTATAAGTTAAATCCAGGTAAAAATATTAATGCAAGATAGTGATAGCCAATTAATTTATCCTATGGAGAAAAAACTTCTGTTTTTATGTCCTCTGGACAGCTTATAGGTTTCTGAGTTGTTGAAGTTCCTTGTCCTTTTGACATAAAATACTTCTAAAGTAGCATTTTTATGTGTTGCAGAGTGATTCATTATCGATGTGGGTAGACCAACTGGCTTCATAATTTAGGTAAGAGAATATATTTTAAATAAAACACTATAATTTATTATGCTAACTGTTTATTCTCCCATATTTACCATTTTCCTTTTTTTTCAAGGCATGGCTTAAGGTAGATTTATTCTAAATATTCAGTTAAATATGAGTTTCTTCTATAAGAAATAATTAAACTAATAAAATTTAGCTCTGTTGTCTTTGTCAAATGCTTTGGTGAATTATTATAAAATAATGCATAAATGACCTTTTAGAAAGACATAAACAGCAGAATCGAGAGGCAGAATAATGTAGGGCTGTTCTGTGCAAAATGTACTGCACATAACTCTAGTTCTGTGGAGTGTTAGTAGCTATGATTTCCTGAGGTGGGGGAAAATCTTGTAGTCAAATAAGTTTACAAAACGTTGTATTAAACAAGTTATTTACTGTAGTACTTTAACATGTTGACAGATATCATGAATCTTAAAGGAGGGGTGGTAGCCTACAGCATTTCTTAGGTTTATTTGACCACAGAACACCTTTTTTTCCCCCCTGAGTCACCTTACAGCAGTGCATTTATAATGGAAGGGAAAGGGCAGGTTGGGGAAGGGAGATGGTACATGTCCTGGAGGCGTAGCAAGTGCAGTGAAATCTGACTCTCTTGCTGGCAAATAGGATGATAATAGGATGATGTTGGGCAAGTGGTCCACTCTAAGCTTCACATTAATCTGAAAAATAAAGGTGATAATATCTAATTTATGTGGTTTTCATAGGACTTACAAATAATTTAGATGAGTTCTATTTTAGGGTTTAATGTGCAAGTCTATAGCAAGACTATAGCTCTCACTGTTACCAAGTAGGGAACAAAGCGGATAAACGAAAAAACAGAAAAAAAGTGGATGCAAAGAAGCCTAAAGGAATTAACTTCGGGACAGGGAAGACCCTTTTCCTCCCTGGGAGCATTTGCTGAGGTGGGCAATGGATCTTCCCATGAGAAAGAGAGGTTCTTCTTCCCAGGGAAGGGAGAGCCACGAGAGCATGAGGGATATATTTAAATCTAGAACAATCCTCAAAAGAGTAAGCAGCTCTCCCTGCCAATCAGTCTTTGCCCAGGAGACTTTTGATGAATGCCGGGCAGCTTGTGAAGCTGGGACACCAGATTGGAAAGAAAGGTAGAGAGAGCTCCCCATAGTCTCACAACGATTAAATCTCAACGTCAGATGGAGGGAGCAGCTGTACTAAACACAGGACACATCTCACTCGCAACACATTTGAAACCAGATGGGAACCAAAGCAACCTAAAATCATAACCCATTCCCATCCCAACTCAATTCCTGATGGAACTGAAGTGGTTAGCCCCTCAGCCTTGCTGCTTGGGAAAGGAAAAACTGTGCCCTGCCTGAAAAGAAATATAGTTATGTCATTATCTACAGATTTTTGATACAATGTCTAGCGTAAAATTTTTTTAATTAACAATAAAAAAGGACATGCAAAGAAGCAGGAAAATAGAACTTGTAATTGAGAAAATAACAGAAGCAAAACTTGAGATGATCCAGATGTTGGAATTAAGAGACACGTCAAAATAACTATTATAAGTATGTTAAATAAAATCGAGGGAAAGATGGACAAAGTGGATGAAAATATGAGAAATTTAAGCAGAGAAACTGAATCTCTAAAAAGAACCAAATGAACTTCACAGATCTACACAGTATAGGAAATTGGGATTGCATGGAATGAGTCTGTGAAAGGCAGCTCGAAATAAATCACTCAAACTATAGCACAGATAGGGAAAGACTTAAAAAAGGAAAAGACAGTATCAAATGGTCCATCATGCATGGTTGGAGTTCTAGAAAAAGAGGAGAAAAATAATGGAGAAAAGGAATATGTAAAAAGATAATATCTCTTGAGTTTTCCAAAACTGATGAAAGATACCACCACAGATTACAAGAAACCCCAAACAGGATAAACACAAAGAAGAAAACTCCCCAAAACATCATGATTAACTGATCAAGACTAAAGAAAAGAGGAAATTTTTAAGCCAGAGGGAAAAAGACATCTTCAAGGGAACACTGACATGAATGTGGAAGCCAAAAGGGGAAACAAACCCATTTTCCAACAAACCAAAGCTGAGGACATTTTTCACCAGCAGACATGCAGGACAAAAAATTCCGAAACAATTTCTTCAGGATCAAAGGAAATGATTCCAAACGGAAGCATGGAATTTTTAAAAAGAATGAAGAGCTCCAGGGAGGATAAACAGATGGATAAGTGTAAAAGACTAATTCTTTAAAAACTTTTTAGAAGACTAGTGACTATTTAAAGCAACAAAAATTATATATATATTATATATATAGAAGTATAGTCAGTTTACAATGTATCAACCGCTGGTACACAGCACAATGCTTCAGTCACACATGAACACACACACATATTCGTTTTTATATTCTCCTTCACCATAAGTCACCACAGGATGCTGATCACAGTTCCCTGTGCCACACAGTGTGAACTTGTTTGTTTTATGTATAGCAGTTAGTATCTGCAAATCTCGGACTCCCAGTTTATCCCTTCCCACTTTTTTCTTCACATGAAGAACATCCAATAAATAATACAATTGTCCCAATATGGAAAGAACTTCTCTTATCACCTTTAGATTTAGAAAACCCCTCATCCGTGTGTAGAAGAGACTTCATCAGTTTTAAATAGGCCCCGATCCTCCGACAAATAGCACGAAAGGTGTTAGAAATGGAATTGTTCCACTGTGTGGGAAATAAAAAATAATGTCACCAAGTGTGCAGTAACATTGCAAAAGAAGATGTGCAAGAATATATGACATTGTAGGAGGAAAAAAATAGCAGATTTTAGATTTAAAATTTGTTAGAAATCTGAAAAAAACTTTCCAATGATTTATCTTTTAGTAACACACCCAAAAAAGGCCAGAAGCTAAGTATTTGGAGTGTGAAATAGAAGAACAAAGTATCAAATAAACTATCATTTGAATGTACATTATTACTTACTGGCTGAAATGAAAACTGAAAAAAAATCTCAAAAAAAAAAAAGACAAAATTCTTTGTTTTACTTTCTCTTGGTATCACTGCCAACAATGCCCTCTAGTGGTAAATTAGGTAGGCACTGCAGAATGGAAAAAATGAAACATAATTAAGCAGGCCTGTTAAACTCATTGCTAAGATTTTCATGAAAATATGAACTTTTACACTTCCACTTGGTAACTGAATGTTATATTTGGCAAGAAAATGAATCTTTACAAAGTATCACAGCATATACCTTAAAGCGCAAGCATTTCAAAGCCAATTTTCCCCTGTGGTTTTCCTGAATACATGCCAAACAGCTCATGGAAATAGCCATCTGCAATGTCTTACAGGGGCACTTCTGGGTCACAACTTCCACTGCATACCTTAAAAGAAAGTAAAGTCTACTTTTATTGAGGATGAAATCAATCTCTGAAGTACTTCTGCTTTTAAACCCGACTACCTTCAAGAATCATAGCTTCAGACAACCAAAATGACTCTTGTTACCGCGTTCGAGATCTTATCTGAATTCTGAGCTCATCAACTAGACAAAATCCTTTCACTTGAGAATTCTTCCAACTACAGCTCTCAACTGCTGGGGTAAGCCCGTCAAAACAACAGTTACAGTTACAGGAATGCAATGTCTCCAACCCAGGCTCAGCAAAGAGCTTCCCAAAGGAACTTCAGCTGAAGGATGAGGAAGACGGTGACGTGATAGCTGACTCCCCTCTAATTCAAACCAGCCAATTGCTGGCTCTGGTCTCTGGCTCAGGAGTCGTCTGTCTCTGCAAATTGTTCTCCTTTCTCTCCGCTCCAACCTTCCTTCCCTCATACTTTCCAACCATCCTCTGTTCCCTTCAGTGACTAATTATGTGTATGATTTTGAGAGACACTTAGACCCTTTTGTGATAACTGTATTTGCATAAGAATATTTGCTCCGAATGACTTTGACGAAGGCATTAGCCTACAACTCTGTTCTGAGATTTCATTTATTTTAATAGAAAGAAACACATCCTCAGATAGCTGTGCTGTGAGTTGACAAGGGCCATTAATATTAATATCAATTCCCTTAGAAAGACTGAGATGATCACATTCTGTGACTACTAAACATTTCCTGGTTTTGCGTTGTTAAAATGGAATCCGAGGACTAAGACGTAAGTCTCTGAAGAACTCTTGCCTTCAACAGCCTTAGATGGTCTCATGAGGCAACCTGAACTTCAATATCATTTTCTCCATTGCCATTTCTGAAATGTTAGGAATAGCTTTTGCAGTCAGGTGACTGGCCCAGGTGTAAATTCCGTCATTACCATTGACTTGGCTGTACCATTCAATAAGGCATTTATACAAACCAGTTAAGAAGATTTGGGAGGACACTCAAAATAATTAGCTGACAATTTCACCTTCACCTAGCGCTGGGACAAATGAAAACATACAAATGTATAGATTCCAAGATGGAACCTATAATCACAAAGTGTGCTCTATAGAGTGATTCCTAATTTATTTGACCGTGGGTGCTTGACAGCAGGAAAGATTTCCCTTGGGGAAATCACAGGGGGAAGGAAGTTCCAGAAAGCAATGCCTTAAGAGTATGTATGAACTCCTGGGCTTGTCTCTGAGTTGTGCATACATGGATCTGACCCTAAACAGCATATTGAAGGCAGTGAGAACAAGATGGACCCCTGCCCAAGTCCCGCACTGGTCACAGGGTGTTACACACATAAGATGGAGACAAGTAGCACAGGAAGGCTTTGAAAACTGAACTGATGTTGGAATCACATCCAAAAAGAGGCAAGGTAAGAACTTGCAAGCTAAACCTAAACTGTTCAACTGCCTACTACACAAATGAACATTCTCCACAGCATTTCAGTGAGACCTAAAATCCCGTAACATAATGTTCAAAATGTGCAGGATCAAATCCAGAATGATGCAGCCTATAAAGAACCGGGAAAATCTTGACATTTCTCAAGGGAAAAGATAATCAACAGCCAAGAACACAGATGTTGAAATTAG